GGTCATCATTAATTCATCTCTCTGACAGTCATTTCATTTTATTACTCATTTATTTATTTATGTATTTATTTCATTACTTCAGTTTGCGCAATAACATGATCATGTGCAATAATTGTAATTTGGTACTTGGCAGACTTTAAGATTAAAAATACTGTTGATTGTGTATAATGTGATCCATATCTTATTTTACACTATTTATGAGGGAAGTTTGTGATTTCACTTATTTTACTCTGTTATATATTATATCATGTTTTGTTCTATTGTACTTACAATCTTATTTTTCCTTCTTCTGTAAATGGTTGCACTAAAAGACAATAATTTCTCACTAGGGATTAATAAAGTAATTCAGATTCAAATTTTTGCCTCAGATTTTTGGTGTTAAGATGAAACCACTTATAAACATTAAGCTTTCAATTAAATTCAATTGAGGTTATTTCTATAGCTCCAATTCACATCATGTCATTACCAGGCAGAGAAGATCTCCAATCAGAATCCAGGGTGGAGATTATCGGGGGAGGTTGAATTCAGTGAGCAGTGGTTGATTTGTAAAGCAGTAGCAGACCAAAGCAGCCCAATTGAAACTAACATTGTCCTATACAATGACATATCTGGTCTCCTCTTCGATCTCCTCTTTCTCGTGTTTCTTCACCTCCATGTCCTCTTCTTCTGCCTCCTCTAATTCCCACTCTTCTTCCTCCCTCTATTGTTCTCCACACTGTAGCTTATTTGTGTTGCTCAGGCTAATAGAAAACTGAACTACGTAATTATCTAAAACAGTTTTAAGAAGTGGCAGTGTGCCAGACACAATATTGTCAATAATAGCCTTATATGTGTATAGCTTTGCTAGGAGTGTTGACTATTTGGAAATTGTGTGTAAAGCAGTTACTTGTGGATGGATGGATGGATGGATGGATGGATGGATGGATGGATGGATGGATGATGGATGATGGATGGATGGATGGATGGATGGATGGATGGATGGGTGGATGATGGATGATGGATTGATGGATTATAGATGGATGGAAGTTGGATGGATGGATCGATCAATGGATCAATGGATGGATGATAGATGGATGATGGGTAATGTGATGGATGACGGAATGAAAAGATGGATGGATGGATGGATGGATGGATGGATGATTATAGATGGATGGAAGATGGATGGATGGATCGATCAATGGATCAATGCATGGATGATGGGTGGTGTGATGGATGACGGAATGAAAGGATGGATGGATGGATGGATGGATCCATCAGTGGATCAATGGATGGATGATAGGTGGATGATGGGTGGTGTGATGGATGATGGAATGAAAGGATGGATGGATGGATGGATCGATCAGTGGATCAATGCATGGATGATGGGTGGTGTGATGGATGACGGAATGAAAGGATGGATGGATGGATGGATGGATGGATGGATGGATCCATCAGTGGATCAATGGATGGATGATAGATGGATGATGGGTGGTGTGATGGATGATGGAATGAAAGGATGGATGGATGGATCGATCAGTGGATCAATGCATGGATGATGGGTGGTGTGATGGATGACGGAATGAAAGGATGGATGGATGGATGGATGGATGGATCCATCAGTGGATCAATGGATGGATGATAGATGGATGATGGGTGGTGTGATGGATGACGGAATGAAAGGATGGATGGATGGATGGATGGAAGGAAGGAAGGATGGATGGATGGATGGATGGAAGGAAGGATGGATGGATGGATGGATGGATGGATGGATGATGATTAAAGCACAATGGTCTTTTCCTAGTGTTTGTGAAAAGTTGGATTAGAGTTAGACTTTATTTATCCCTTGGGATAACTCCTTTGGGGAAATTTTGGTTCCAGTAGCTTATATAGAGTACAAAGAGTTAAAGCAAGATTTCATTAAAGACAAAAATACAACAAACAATATAAAAAGTGTTTATATATTGTTTAAACAGCATGTAAAAGTCATAATGTCCTGGATTATGTTTCCCTAGATAGGAAAATATCTGCACAGTAGAGAGCTAAGGGATGACAACAGAGTAGTTGACTTGGATTACTGCGCCTGTTCTGCAGAGTAGAGGTGGGCGGATCGATCCCAGGATCGATACTATCGATACCAACGCTGGTATTTATATTGAACAATATTCGTTTAACAAGATCGATACTTTTTATCCTCTCTCGCGCGCGCTGATTGCTGCGGAGTCACCAGTTTCCCCATATGTGTAACAGCACTTTGCTCCCCCTCCCCTCTCCTACAGTCACATGGCTCAGCGGCGCCAGCCAATCAGCGCGCAGGCTTAGCTTGGCCTGCCCACTCAGCACTACGTCACACAGACAACCGCGCTGCCGGTTGCTGGGTGAGTGCTCACTCAGACTTGGATGGAGAGAGAGACCAAAGACCCGCCTCCAGCCTCAGACAGACATCTTTGACCCAAGCGTTTCAGTCCTCCAGAGAATATCCAGGTAGATAACAGTGGTCATCGTCTGCAGCACTTCATTATACATCATATATTACTCAGAAAGTGTAGTTAAGACCTTGAAAAAACCCAGTACATTTATCCCATTAAAAATTGTTAGCTAAAATAAGCTAACATTAGATAATCTCTTATTTATTCCACGATTGAGAACTTTATAGAAAAAAAGCAACAGGCAAGTGCAGCTTAAATGTAAAAAGTATCGGTATCGGTATCGATATCGGCGATACTGACCCAGTATTTACTTGGTATCGGATCGATTAAAAAATCCCGGTATCGCCCACCTCTACTGCAGAGATGTACTGACCTTATAAATAAGTAAAAAGTTGCACAGACTACACAGTAGTTGGCATGTATAATTTTATAGTGAGAGAGAAGAATATTTCACGAGTGACAATAGGTAATGTTGTCATAAGAAGTCTAAGGACGGAAGTGCTGACCATTGTACTTCTTCCTATCATTGCCTCCTTCCCCCAAGTGAGGAGTTGTAAAGCTTCCCACTGATCAGGCTCCTCTGAGTGGTGAAGACAGTGTGCAAAGGGTGACTGGCATTGTTCATAATGTACTTTTCTCTTCCACCGTCCAATCGTAGTGGTTCCCCCACTTCAGTTCCACAGGTTTTCAGTAGCCTGTTGAAGAAATTGTTCAGTTCATTTGCCCTCTCCATTGTGCCTTCAACAGTTCTAGTCTTTGTGTTTTGGCCTGTGATGGTTCTCATACCTTCCCAGACGACTCTTATGTTATTCTCCCTCAGTTGCTGCTCAACCTTCCCCCTGTAGATGCCTTTGGCTTCTCTAACATAGCTTTCCATTTTCCACTAGCTTTAGTGTCTCTGTTGGCTCTCAATGCAGTAAATCCCAGCATGTCTACATTAGCGTCCAATACGAGTTAGTTAAGGCATGTCTCTGTAAAGATGAGCAGGCTGCTTTCTCTATAAATCCGCTGGTTGTTCAGTGCAGTCAGCTCGTCAATCTTGTTAGACAATGATAGATATCGAGTCTGTTTTGGAATTACCTACAGTGCACCTAGAGAGGAAAGTCATGAGTCAGACAGAAAATGAGACAGAGGTGTGATGTAAAATTTGGCATAAAAACAAATTAAAATGATGAAATTGCATCATATCAGCAGACATTGAGCCTGGAAGTTTTTTCGTGTTAAACTAGAGTCATTTCGCTCCACTTTCACTGTAAGCTTGCTCAGGATTTAAGACATTACTAGCTGGTAATTGAGCAACTTTCCTGGCAGGCTCTCTATCTGTGGTATATCAGAATGTTCTGGTGTAAATTTCATGAATCCGGATCAGTTGCATTGTACCAAACTGGACGTATTTTGCTCCATACCTTCAAAATGAAAAATGCTGAAATTAAATTAATCATATTTTTCTTTAACCACACCAGGCAGATTTTTCCATTACTCCCAAAGAGAATAAAAATGCCGCCACAGTTCTAATGACAAACTGAAGCATTGGAAGCTTTGCTCCGGAAGCCTTTCCGCTGCTTCTCTCCAGTGACTCCCAGGAGGATGTGATATGGGAGGAAGGGTTCTGAAGGGAAAATGTATTTAGGACATTTAACTCAGCTTACAGTTTCACACAATAAAGACGCTGGAGGCCTTTTAGAAGGAGCAGATAGAGTATCAGCTTTCATGTGAGCCATTTACAGACACTAGAAAAATATTCTTTACTCTGCAGATGACTGATTTAATGCAATCGGCTCTGTTTCTTTAAAACAACACAAAAAAATCTGTTTATCTAATAAAGCTCGAACTGTAATTATTTACTTACTTTGTTGTAAATTAATTTCAGTAATGAATGTAAAAAAACAAACCTGCAGCTGAACCTAAACGGAAAGTATATAGAGAGACAAAGTATCATAAAATTCATCAATAACAATGTCCCATGAAATAAACAAATGTACCATAAAATATGTAGATGTGACCTTTATCTATTTATTAATCGAATACATAGTTCAATATAAATGTTGTTATTTTTTTTCTATAAATATCCCATTAAATTGTGAAAGGCACAATTAAGTAATTAAATATCCCATTATAACAGATTTAAAAGGAGTAATTAAATAATGAAATACTGTAAAATAAATGTAATTATTCAAGTGTAAATGCATATAGATTTAAGTAATTAAAAGTAGTTTTATGGTATCTCCAGTCTGCTGCATAGTTATTTTTGGGTTACAAGCTGAAATGTTTGGGAACTCCTGCTATCACCTAAACTCTAAATAAAACATTTAATGGTTTGTGCTAACAGACAAGATGTGAAACATTTCTGGGGTCATAAAATTGATCATGTGAGAACACTATAAAATGATTACTGCTCTTTAACAACAGCGGCATTTACTCTAATTACTCTGCAGTCTTATTTAAAAATAAATGTAATACATGTTACACCAACTTTAAAAGCTAATGTTGCTAATATATCAACTGTGGATTATATCTTCATTTTTTTTTCAGCATCCTTCTGAGCTTTGGTCCAGGCTTTAGGACCTGGGGGTATTTTGTACTCCCACTGCTTCATTGGGGCGGAACGGCCTGGAAATAGAAGCCTATGGCACAGAGATTACTTGTCTTCCAGAATAATAGCTCCTTTTCTCAAACTTCTATTCTGCTTCCTCAGATAGCTCCTGCTCAGAAGTTCTGTGTTTATGGATCTATGTGAATCTATCTAGGCAGCAACCCTTCTGACTTATTCCAAAGGCCTTATAAGGTAACTATAAGAATATGGGGGAGGGAGTTGATCGTGGAAGATAAATTTCCTGGCATGTCTAAAGACAACAAGTTTGCTTATCTGGGCTCTGATGTTAAGGCTTCTGATAAGGAAGTTAAACATGTTTAGTTGTTGGAGCTAAAAGTTGGAGGAAATTAATGTAGAAGTCTGTGCTGTAGGTCAGAAAGGATGTGTTTGTGAAGTCATGTGAGAAGGCTGCAGCTTTGACCTGATTTCATTCACAATTCTTTTACTTTATCAGTATAAAAACTTTATATGACAATAAATCAGAACATTGAGTTTTAATTCAAGTTTCAATTTTTGGGCCTGGACAGATGAGCTTGTTTTTAACCAATAGTTCCACAAGTTGAGTTCAGATACACTATAATGATCATAGACACTCACTAAGCAGTGTCTAAACACAAAGTTAAGAAAACTGTAGCCGACATATTTTAAAAGGATCCAGGCTAAGTCAGGCATGGCTTCGCCTTTTTGTTTGTCTTTAAAGCTTAAAGCAGCCTGTAAGAACATGTCTGGGAGTCTGAGAGGCAAGCAGAGCTTCTTCAGGCTCAGAGTCCCTCTCTGAAAGTGGACAAAGTTATGTGCAGCAGCACATGGTCACACTCCCACACAACAAAGAACCAATCAGAATCAACCACATTCCTTCCACTGGATGAACTGGATGCAGATCCTAGTCATGAACATCTAATAACTTAATTCAGTTTAAGTTAAGATAAAAGGGATCATAAATAATTTACAATATTTACCAAAAGGTAAAAGGTTCCCATGTGTTCCCAAGTATTTGCAGTTTTTACAACTGTAGAGATTTATTTTGTTTTGCAAATGTGCATATTTTGTTGCTTATTATTGAGTTTCTGAATGTTTAGGGGTGTGGCTTCTGCTTCAGGGCTAGTCAGGTGATTGAAGTGGAGCCACACAATTTTTTGACCTCATTTACACTTCTCCTAATCTTCTTTTATATATTTTTGATGGATATTTCATACCTGTATCGTTTTGAACTAAATGGTTGAACCTAACAGTGTGTCATGATCTGCCATAATAGCTGACCTTAATTATTCACTTCATTCACCTGTCTAACTTTGCTTGCTTCCTAATCAGCGCTCATCTTGTTTATGGACATGAATGTCTTGATAATCCTTGACTCCTAAACATTTAATTAGACTGTAATATTCTGCAACTTCAATGATAAAACAATAAACAATTGGACTATGTACAACATGCGCACAAGCCAAAGCCACATCAGTTTTAGGTTTACAGTTAGGACATGTTTTTAAAACTCCACCCAGAATGGAGCCAGATACAAACGCTTGCCAACTCAAATTCTACAAAACCCACTGACAAAGATTGGTTGAAAAGATATAGAAAAAACAACATATTTTATGTCCAAACGATGTCTATATTTGGTTAAATAGTGAGAAATCGTTTCAACATCCAATATTGCACTAAGGTGGGAAAAAAATCAGACTTACCGAACAGAGCCCAATTTTTAACATCTATTTCTGGACTAGATCAAGACTCTGATGAACCGACCAGATTTAGCCTAAAAACCAACGTCTAAGTGTTTGAGGGGAACAGTGGTGGCAGAATATTTCTTTATGCGTGATTATGAGTCTGCAAAATGAGGAGGAAAATGCAATGAGGACCAAGAAACAGATTTTTGTCCAATAGATCATTACATCACACTGATAAATGACTTTATGTGTTTTCCAGGTTCTCTGCTGTTATACAACAATGTGGCTAACATGTCTGGTGTCGTTGGCCCTTCTGAACACAATAACCTCAGCTTCCACCGCGGCTTCAGCAGATAAAGTTCTCAGTAACCACGCCGCCATCCTGGCTGACAGCAGCGCAGATTTAGCTCTCAGCCTCTACCTGAACATGGCAAAGGGAAAAGGCGTAGAGAACATCCTCATTTCCCCTGTGGTAGTGGCCTCCTCCCTGGGTCTGGTGGCTCTTGGGTGGAAGGGCTCCACCACCTCAGAGGTAAAAAAAATCCTGAATGCAGCTAAACTTCAGGACGAACAGCTTCACGCTGGTTTTGAGGAGCTCCTCAGTGAACTGAGTGACCCAAAATCTCGTAATGTCACTTGGAAAATCGGTAGCCGGCTTTATGGGCCTAGCTCTGTAACCTTTGTAGATCACTTTGTGAAGAGCAGTAAGAAGCATTACAGATGTGATCATTCCAAGATTAACTTCAGAGATAAAAAGAACGCGGTTAAGTCGATCAACGAGTGGGCCGCCAAGTCCACCAACGGCAAGCTGCCTGAAGTCACCAAGGATGTGGAAAACATGGACGGGGCAATGATCATCAATGCTATGTATTTCAAACGTAAGGGTATAACTGTGTCTCTGTGAGATATTTAACTCTGTTCTGTAAAAAAAAATCCAAATAAACCTGCCATTTCCTCACAGCTCACTGGGACGAGCAGTTTCACCCGACGATGGTGGACAACCGAGGGTTTCTGGTGTCCAGTAGCTACACAGTGTCATTACAGATGATGCATCGCACAGGTGGGTGAACTCTGACCTCTACATGAGCCAGTAGGTAGGCTGCAACAACATCACAGCCAACAGGTGTCCTCCTCACTCTTAGAATATTGGTGGAATATCATTTCTGATCATAAACTGCTTAGCTGGATTCAAAAATCACAGATATGAAACTAAACAATTTTATTTAAAGGCACACTGTGTAACTTTTAACCACTAGGGGTGCTAGACCTGTAACTGTGATAAGTTAAAATGGTAGATATTATCAATTAGACCATAAGAGAATTGATTGAATTCATTATTTAAAAAAAAAACGGTAATACATTAAGAAGAGAAATCAAAAGTGGGTAATCTGGAAAATCATCTGATTTAAAAAGGGTTAAAACGCTAAAAAGTGGTTTGCCTTACTTGGTTTGTTTTCTTCTTGATTGTGTAATTTGTGGTTAAGATGTGTGAATTTACAGTTTACGAGGCGATCTTGAACTAGACATGACGCTGTCTGTCTCCGCCCACATGCCTGGAGATGCCGCGGTCTTTTCCTCATTAGAGTAAAAGTTCTCGCTGAGGAAACATCTCTTTTCATTGTTTTTATTCCTCCCCATTTTCAGGTATGTTGTCACTGTTAAGACGAAGGTACTTTTTATCAGTTTGATTAAACGGTATAATTCAACATGGAAAAAACAGAAAAACGCCCGTTTTCTCCTTTTTCTCCTCAGAAAACGATTCGTTTTCCCGTTTTGTGGTTTCTGCACATAAAACCAAAATCCAATAAACGGCTTGATTTTTGTTTTTTTGTTTTCGCCCCCTAAACGGAAAAACCAGTCAATTTTCGGTTTTAGAAGTGGGCGTGGCTTTCAAGCCCGCCGGTCCAGTGCCCTTCAAAATAAAGGCATGGCATGGAGAAACTTTCGCTGTATTTCCTGCCCTCATCGTAGCTTTTGCTTGTGTTCGAAATTAAAGCAGGTCTTATACATATATAAATATATACATATATTTAGATGTAATATATATTTATATTTTTTATAGCTACAGGGTTTACTCGGAATAAAGTCATCAGAGAGATTTAACTGCGACAGAACAGACATGGTAAATTTGACACTCACGACAGGTATTTTAAATGACCAGCAGATGTCGCTGTGCATCTATGGGACAATTAATCGCAATGTCAAGCGTATTTTACCTCCTCATAGTCAATAAATGGAACATTTATGAAACGGAGTGCTGTGTGAGGAACTTCATTTTTGTGGCGGTAAAAAATCTGGAATTTTTTTTTTAGATATATCTGGGAAAACAGCCAATACAAACAGGAGTGAGGTAGAAAAAATTATAGATCTCTCTCTCTCTCTCTATAAATATATATATATTCACTTTGAATGTTGAATTCACTGTGCTTTAACACATGTGGAATTATATAATTATCAAAAAAGTGTGAAACTGCAAATATATCTTATATTCTAGGTTCTTCAAAGTAGCCACCTTTTGCTCTGATTACTGCTTTGCACACACTCTGCATTCTCTTGATGAGCTTCAAGAGGTACTAGTTTGCCCTTTTGCTTTCACTCTGTGGTCCAGCTCACCCCAAACCATCCTGATTGGGTTCAGTTCCGGTGATTGTGGAGGCCAGATCATCTGGTGCAGCCCCCTATCACTCTCCTTCTTGGTCAAATAGCCCTTACACTGCCTGGAGGTGTGTAAGGGGTCATTGTCCTGTTGAAAAATAAATGATGGTCCAACTAAACCAAATCGGATTGAATAGCATGTAGCTGCAAGATGCTGTGGTAGCCATGCTGGTTCAGTATGCCTTTAAGTTTGAATAAATCCCCTAACCCAGCAAAGCACCCCCACACCATCACACCTTCTCCTCCTTGCTTCACGGTGGGAACCAGGCATGTAGATTCCATCCGTTCACCTTTTCTCCGTCGTAAAAAGACACGATGGTTGGAACCAAAGATTTCAAATTTGGACTCATCGGACCAAAGCACAGATTTCCTCTGGTTTAATGTCCATTCAATGTGTTCTTTAGCCTAATCAAGTCTCTTCTGCTTGTTGGCTGTCCTTAGCAGTGGTTTCCTAGCAGCTATATTACCATGAAGGCCTGATTCACACAGTCTCCTCTTAACAGTTATTCTAGAGATGTGTCTGCTGCTATCGGACCAAAGCACAGATTTCCTCTGGTTTAATGTCCATTCAATGTGTTCTTTAGCCTAATCAAGTCTCTTCTGCTTGTTGGCTGTCCTTACCAGTGGTTTCCTAGCAGCTATTTTACCATGAAGGCCTGATTCACACAGTCTCCTCTTAACAGTTATTCTAGAGATGTGTCTGCTGCTAGAACTGTGTGGCGTTGACCTGCTCTCTAATCTGAGGTGCTGTTAACCTGTGATTTCTGAAGCTGGTGACTCTGATGAACTTATCCTCCGCAGCAGAGGTGACTCTAGGTCTTCTTTTCCTGGGGCGGTCCTCATGTCAGCCAGTTTCTTTGTAGTGCTTCATGGTTTTTGCCACTGTACTTGTGGACACTTTCAAAGTTTTCCCAATTTTTCAGACTGACTGGCCTTAATTTCTTAAAGTAATGATTAATTTCTTAAAGTAATGAATTTTTCTTTACTTAGAATTTGTATTATGGCAATAAAAAAGCAGCTAACAGTCTATTCAGTAGAACTATCAGCTGTGTATCCACCTGACTTCTGCACAACACAACTGAGGGTCCCAACCCATTTATAAGGCAAGAAATCCACTTATTAAACCTGACAGTGGACACCTGTGAAATGAAAACCATTTCAGGTGACTACATCTTGAAGCTCATCAAGAGAATGCAGAGTGTGTTCAAAGCAGTAATCAGAGCAAAATGTGGCTACTTTGAAGAACCTAGAGTATAACACTTATATTCAGATGTTTCTTTCTTTATTCTTAAGTATATAATTCCAAATGTGTTAATTCATAGTTGTGATGCCTCCAGTGTGAATCTACAATCCTCATAATCATGAAAATAAAGAAAACTCTTTAAATAAGCAGTTGTGTTCAAACTTGTGGTCTGTACTGATTACATATATATATATATATATATATATATATATATATATATATATATATATATATATATACTGTCTATATACAACTCAAGGAGGTTTGGTGTGTTATAACAAGGCCACTGCTTTTCTTTCCTCATTTTTATTTTAAAAAATTACAATGCGATTTTGAGCCCCTAAAAGAACATTGGAGAGCAAAAAAAGTACTTTCTTGTGCACACTAGTTGTGCACAGTAATTACATTCCTGTGCACAACAAATACTCAAGCTGTAGAATGTCATATTTTAAATTAAAATTGTGTTGTCACATATTTGAAATTTAGCATGGTCTTGAAGAGGCTAGACATAAAGGTAAAATAAGAACAGAACCTGGTGACAAACAACTACCTTTAACACTGCAAAGCTGTCACAAGTTGTACAACAAGGCAAAACAAGACCAAAACAACAAACCTCCAAAAACATAAATAATAATAGACTTGAAGAAACTGGCTCTGTGCTGTGAATAGCTCTGGATGTTAGAGCCGAGTCTAGATAGGATGTTGCACAAGCTGCTGTAAGTGAAGAACTATTCACACCCTCTCTACACCACTGAAGAGACAATTAAGTGTTCACCACCAGTGTGTTGTAACATTAGAATAGCTCATGATCAAACAGTCGTTGAGATGGTTCACTAACAATTACCAAATTTGATGGCAAAACAAAATTTATTATTTTACTAAATGACAGTATAGTTCTCTCTCCTGACAGTTGCAGATTAAGTCATATTCTTTCTGGAGTTCAAAGACCTCCCATACAGGTAAAAAAATGCCCAGGTTAAAGTTATTTAGAAAGGCAAAAATGTTTTTTAAATATCTCAAACTTATTCAAGCTGAACCATAGGCTGACATTTCAATAACTTCACAGCATTATTTAAGACAAAGTTTTATTAAAGTGGAATGAAATGTAAAAACTAGTTACATAAGGCAATAGCTTAAAGTTTACAATAGAACATAACATATTTCCAGTTTTTGTACATAATTAAGTAATGTGCCATTAAGGTTTAAAGGCAATTCATGTAATTAAGACATGAAATTAAAGTAAACATTTTTTACTTTTTGCATTATGTTAAACTACGCACTAAAACATAATATTTGATGCCAGTTGTCTCTGGATAAACGTTTACAAATAAAATGAAGCAATACTCTATGCATTAAAGAAACGGCTTCACAAATAAGTAACTCCACTAGTAGTGTGAATTTAATTTCTAAATTTCTTTATGGGGCAGTGATAAATTTTACATTCAAACTGGAACAGTGTTTTTTAAATATGTAGTGAAAAGTTTACAACACTGTCAGAGTTAAAACATTCATTACAGAAATATTTTCCTCCTCTAGGAAGACAGAATCATGACAGTAACTTTCACTTCAGGGTGTTTTCTTTTGTGTAGAGTTTAAATTGATCCATCTCCAGCAAGAGTTCTTAGAGGACTTTAAAAGTGTAGCACAAAATAGGAGGGTATGCACAGTTCAGGGCATAAATCAGTCCCATAAGCAGTGGACAAGCTTTCGCTGTACTCTTGCATCCTGGGACAATCTCATAGCTGTCAGATTTTGAAAACAGAGTTACTGACATCACTGTGCTGTCCTCGCCCTGAGTTTTCCCAACTTTTCAGCCGGCTAGACAGCCAGACAACGACGCTCCAATAACCAAACTTCTTTCTCTTTTCAGTTGTTTATTGAAGAGTGGCCTCTGACCACTGCCATCGCTTTAGCCATCGTAAACTGTAACATACAAACATTACAAATCAATCACTCTTGTAGCAAGCCAATAAGTTCAGCATACAATTATTTACACCACAGTTACATAAGGCAAAATGACTTATGCTAGATATTGTTACAGATTAACGCTTCAGAAACATCAAATCAAAAACTAATAAACTCAGAAACAGCTTCTTCCCCTGTGCTGTGAGGGTATCCCATCTGATGTGAGACAGTGGTCTAACACATTTCTTTCTTTCTATACAATATTTGAATTTGAAATATTAAAAACTATATAAAATAAAGCAGGAAACCTAAACCTAGCCGGAGTGTCTGAAAGAAATTTCACAATGGTAACATGCTGCGATAATTACCCATTTATGAATCACTTTCAAACACTATGTCACTTTAAATGAACCCCTTGTTCAAGATTATTTTTAAATGTTTGAAAACATGACCTACCAAGCAGTCCTAAACAAGTCATATTCCTTCTTCCCATGGTACAGTATAAGGCTGGAGATAATGGCTTCTCTTCTCACCTCAATGCTCTGTTTCTGTGAACAGATTAAGAACATAAACATAAGCATTATAAATACACAATGAGCATGTGAGGGAAGTTTAAGACTTAGGGGTGTCTTGAACCGATTGTGTGACCAGATATCAGAGAAAGAGCGAGATGAAGTGGGTGACTGAGGGAGCGATGGAGAAGGAGCAAAGTCAGTCAGTGAGGTGGGGACAGACAGGCAGCTGAGGGCAGCAAGACATCGTATTTTATTTCATAAATATAAGTAATAAGTTACGTCAATGCTGATACATCAATGGTGTCTTACAATGCAATAAATGTCACAGGCTTGTTATTGAGGTAGGTAGAGTAGTATTGTAATATTGTTACATCCCTAGTAGAGCACAAAGAACAGAAAAATACTGGGATGGTCCTGTTAATCTACATGAAGCACTTTACTGCATTGCCAAAGAATTTGGTCTGTCTGTGAATCAGAAAAAAGTAGGTCCATCTCCCTGTAAAATATATAAACAAGCAAAACCAGCACACCTGACTCAGTCGGTCCAGGAGCAAACTCGTCTTGGGCCCCAAAACTCCCCCCCCTGGCTTTCATCAGCTTTCGTGTGTATTTGTCAAGTTTTTGCCTGGTTTGATCCACTGGAATGGTTGTTGTTCTCCTGAATTCCTCTTTGATCTGAATCAACAAAAGATTCACAAGTACAACTATATTTTGATTGAAATTTACATGTTCAAATGGAGCATGAATTAGTTAATTAAAAATTATTCATTAAGCATAGTTACAGCTTAACAAAGGGCCACAAGAGAAAATAGGTCCTACAAAACAGTGAAATAACTTTTTATCTGTTATTTAAAAAAAAAACAGTTAGAACAATAATAAATAAAACAGAACAATAATAACTTACCTGTGAAATGACTCAAGTGCTACATGTTGCTCTGTGATCCTCAGACGTCTGGACACAGAAAGTCGGTCCTGTTGTAGCCACAGTGCGCATGCGTTGTGCGTTCGTCTCAAAACCCTGCATTTTCATAGTAAAGTTTGTTTAGAATGTAAGTGTATGTACATACAATAATTCATATTTAATGGTATAAGGAAACCTAAATACATCTCACTCTAACTATATAATTCACGTATTACTTAAAAATATTGAAAAACTCTATATCTTACTGAATCTTAAACTATAAATTAGAATGACAGTTATTCTAATAGAATTTACTGCAACAAAAAGTATTTTTTTCCCAACTCCAATCACTTCTAACCTCTTAACGTTTATAATCATTTTCATCCCCTTTCACAGCGACAGGTTTGTCACCTCAATCGCTGCCTTGATCAGACAAATCTCTATTGCGCAGGGTGCTCTGCGTAATTACGCATGCCAAAGACTCAGTTTCACGTTCTCAGATTTTGTTGGAGCGGACGGAATTAATTCGTAAAGACTGTAAAGGGACAAGGACAAATGACGGGTCTGAGCCAAAGCCCCTGATGTTACATGTCCCCTCATATGCGAGTAAAAAGTGCGAATCAACATGTACCTTTATGCACATCTGAATTCAAGCGCAGGACGATGTGCCAGCGCAGAATCAAATCACCCAGCCCCGGCAAGACTGTTAAAATTGAATTTGCATAGTATCCTATCAGTATGTATTTACATAACAATATTATCTTGCTGTAGAGGTACAAACATCTCAGGCATGGAAATGCAGGGATAATTTTTTTCACCTCACTCGTGATTTTATTGGCTGTTTTCCCAGATATATCTCTAAAAACATTCCAGATTTTTTACCGCCACAAAAATGAAGTTCCTCACACAGCACTCCGTTTCATAAATGTTCCATTTATTGACTATGAGGAGGTAAAATACGCTTGATATTGCGATTAATTGTCCCATTGATGCACAGCGACATCTACTGCTCACCTGTCGTGAGTGTCAAATTTACCATGTCTGTTCTGTCGCAGTTAAATCTCTCTGATGACTTTATTCCGAGTAAACCCTGTAGCTATAAAAAATATAAATATATATTACATCTAAATATATGTATATATTTATATATGTATAAAACCTGCTTTAATTTTGAACACAAGCAAAAGCTACGATGAGGGCAGGAAATACAGCGAAAGTTTCTCCATGCCATGCCTTTATTTTGAAGGGCACCGGACCGGCGGGCTTGAAAGCCACGCCCACTTCTGAAACCGAAAATTGACTGGTGTTTCCGTTTTGGGGGCGAAAACGAAAAAACCAAAATCAAGCCGTTTAATGGATTTTGGTTTTATGTGCAGAAAGAATCCGTGTATCATTCGTTCTTTCTATTTTCAATTGCCAATCAAAAAACAAAAAATAAAAAATTGACTGGTTATTTTGTTATTTGTTTTTTATGGTTAAACCAAAAACGAAAAAAGGATTTGTTTTTCATATATCAATTCTAAGCTCAGATCAAGAATACGAAATGGAAAAACGGACAGCAACGCAGAATTTGTTTTTAATATTTAATCGGTACAGTTTACGTGACCCGGAAATAGCTCTTTGCGCAGCAGTTGGGGTAATGAAGTGGCTACCATGGCGACGCTAGAACCACACACTATGTTGATCGAGAAGCTGTTTGTTGCTAGTTAAAAGTACAGTGCACAGAAAAGTTTCAAGAAAAAAGTTATACCTGGAAAATCCTGCAAATTTTCTCCGTTGTCATGTCCTCCTCAAGAGTCACACGCTTGGATCCTCGAAATAAAACGTAACTGTCCATGGCTGATAGGTCCGACTGCCTTATCTGGTGCAGTTTGATCGAACGTGGTGGGAGTAAGCCAATTGTTTTTTTAGCTAACGCTCCACCAAACTTCCGGGTCATGTAAACTGTACCGATTAAATATTAAAATCAAATTCTGCGTTGCTGTCCGTTTTTCCATTTCGTATTCTTGATCTGAGCTTAGAATTGAAATATGAAAAACCAATCCTTTTTTCGTTTTTGGTTTAACGATAAAAAACAAAAAACAAAATAACCAGTCAATTTTTGATTTGTTGTTTTTTGATTGACAATTGAAAATAGAAAGAACGAATGATACACGGATTAGAAACCACAAAACGGGAAAACGAATCGTTTTCTGAGGAGAAAAAGGAGAAAACGGGCGTTTTTCTGTTTTTTCCATGTTGAATTATACCGTTTAATCAAACTGATAAAAAGTACCTTCGTCTGTTAAACATATTTAGCGTGATTTTAGTAATCAGCTAACATGTTAAAGCAATGTTAAATGTGTTTGTTATAATTTAAGTTATTCAGAAGTGTCGTGATGTGTGTAAGTGTGGGCGTGTCAGTTGGCTCCCTGCTAGAAAGCACCGACCATCACAAAGTTGTAACGGGCGTCGCCATTTTGAATCGTTTGTAGATGCGCATAAACGCTTTTGGTGGTGTATTTTGCACTTATTTCGGAGGTTTTGCACACATTTATTTTTGTACGAGTTTTTATTACATTATTAGTTTGTGTTGAAGCATAAAGTTGTTTTTCTAATGTGTGAGGAAACAGTTACCTTTTAATGAACAAAGCTATTTATTAGTTTTTTAACGGGTTATATGATGTGCTTCATTTATTTTATTAAAATAAACACGTTTTGGTTTTATAATGTTAATCTCAGAGAACCTGTTGCTTGTTGTAGGGCTTATGCCTCAGGTAAATACTATATTAGTAAGATGCGTGCACTCTCTGTACCCAGGCATTTTTGCTGTAAGATTTTATAAATGTTAATTGTTGTAAAACCAATACTTCATTAGAGTAAAAGTTCTCGCTGAGGAAACATCTCTTTTCATTGTTTTTATTCCTCCCCATTTTCAGGGGCGTAACATAACTGCCCATATTTTTCTCCTAATAAACATCTGTCATTGTCCCAAGTCTTCTGACCCACATTCAGAATACATTGAGGAGACAGGTAGGGCACATTTAAGATTAGTTAAAAGTTAGCTAAGATTAGTTAAAATTAGTTAGGAATAGTTTATTTATTAAAAAAACAAAGACGACACGCAGAGTTTCTTCAGTACGTCTGGAAAAGAAGGGAGCGGGAGATGAGAACGACAGCACTAAAAGGCTTCCCGCGTGATACGTGCACGATCCACCAAGGGCCGTGAGCGGTGCTGAAGGTCCGTAGGTGGGAAATAAACAAGCTTACAGTGGGAAAGGTGGCTGCCAAGTAGCTCATTGGTAGCTTGGCCAATTAGTCCGCGTGGTGGCGGCGTAACAGTCAGCTCGGCGTATAATGAGCATGACGGCTTGAACTGAAGTGGGATTTTGAGCCTAACAGCCTCATACAGCTAACAGGAGAAAAGTCACAGAAACCACAGCAGCACCCTGTCAACATCGAAAATAATAACAGATATATGACTGTATACTAGGAGAAAAGTGTTAATTTAACAATCTAATAATAAAGTTGAGGAAATAGAATTGGTTTTACAGTACATCCGGCTTCTTCTTTCAGTCTGCGCCAACAAACAAACTCCTTTCCAAGATTTACTCTTGGTTTTCCTCAATCTCTTTCCCGTTTTCTCTTTTTAGCCTCCTCAAAAGGTTAAAACTTTTTCCTTGCCTCAACCATGACCAGTAGTCAAGCAGACGGAAAAATAATAGAGCTAAAGCCTTAGCTCCATGACTATAAAAGAGCCTATGGCTTTAAAGCGATACATTCTTCTAGGTCACATGACCTGACCAATGACGGTGCGTCTTCTCTTAACTTACATAGTCGGTATTTCAAGAGGGGAGCCCCGCTCGTAGCATTGATAGTGTCAAGCACTGTGTAGTGGCCTGAGGAACCATTTAAAATAACTCATATGCATCAACTCTTTAGGTCACAAAGTCTGTGGTGTGCCTTTAAAGGCATAGTTCAGATATTTTTTGTGAGGGTACATTTCATGTAAAAATCATGATCAATGGATCCCTTGGTATTTTGTTCTGTAAGTTTTCTCACCTGAAAAAAAAATTATGTTTAACCAAAATTTTATTAATAAACACAGTTAATCAGTTTAATTGATTATTTAAATAATCATCAACTAATTTAGTAATCAATACATTGTTAACTGGAGTATACACTTTAAAATATTTCTTTAGCTGACAGAGTGGCCATTTATATACCACCAAAAGGGAGGACATTTTTACTGCAAATCAATAAATTACTAAGGTGTACATAAGAATCTGGTATACTCTAATTTATAGTACAAATTTGTGGGGTTTAAAGAGAATGCTTGTGTAGCTGAATAGGATAAAAAAAAAAAAAATGTTGGTTCACAGTATTTCTATTTAATTCATTGTGGTGTTAAAAAAAAACACTGAACCACAAACCAACAAAAAACACAAACCAGAAAACAATCCAACAGAACATTTACAGGTGCTAAATGCAAAAATAGCTGAGCTGCAGTCATCGTCACAAAGCTGTGCTAGTGTCCCACATCATGACCAGCCTGTGCACAAAAACAGACCCGTAAAGGATTTAAATACAACATATGATTAAAACGATGCTCATGAAAAACAATATGCAGCAACAACAAAGACTGTTGAACCGTTTATATATTTGGTTCCTCCTGTTTAATGAAAGAAAAACCCACAAAGAACACAGAAAAAGCTTTAATCTAATAAAAGTAATACATAAGAGTTATTTAAAAAATGAACAAAATGAAAGACAGACATTGCTTTTCCACCAAGCTTCAACAGAATTACTTTTAAAAATAAATGAATAAAAATAAGCCTGTGTAAAAAAAAAAAAAGGGCTCGTCTGTAAGATTCGGTAACAGAGTTTATTGATTATAAACACCTGTGATGCTAACGTGTCCCATTATGTGGTATATATTAGGTATACCCTGAAATCTGCATCCCAAAAACAAATTTGTATACAATATAAGATTGTATAGGAGTATATCTTTATATTCTTAAAGATGGAATAAAGAAAACAAAGATTTGCTTTAAAGTTGAAGAGATTCCTCAAGTGTAAGGACCGATGTAAGGCTGACATTTTTAACATTATATTCTCAGGTCTTTTTGACTTCTACGATGACACCACCAATAAAGTGTCTCTTCTTAGCATGCCTTTGGCTCATAAGATGTCCACAATGGTGCTGATCATGCCCTACCATGTGGAGCCCCTGCAGAGACTAGAGAAGATGCTGAACAAAAAGCAGCTGGACACCTGGATGGGGAAGATGAAGCAGACAGTGGTGGCTGTTTCTCTGCCCAAAGTCAGCATGGAAGTTAGTCACAACCTGCAGGTAAAACATGCAACACTTTATGAAGCTCGGTTTGAAAGAAATTCAGAACCATGACCTTTTAGTTACACAGACTTTTTCTGCTATTTCTTTAGAAGCAGCTTCAGGAGCTGGGCCTCACCGAGGCTGTGAACAGATCAAAAGCAGATCTCTCTAACATCTCTGGGAAGAAGGATCTGTACCTGTCTGCTGTGCTCCATGCTGCTGCTTTGGAATGGGACACTCATGGAAATGAAATTGATACCAGCATCTTTGGATCAGACAAACTAAAAAACCCTAAGCTCTTCTATGCCGACCATCCTTTTATTTTCTTTGTCAAGGACAAAAAGACTAATTCAGTCCTGTTCATTGGCCGAGTGGTGAGGCCAAAAGGAGAAAAAATGAGAGATGAGTTATAGATGATCAGATGAGTCATTCCGGATATTCTGGGTATTTCTAAGTTCTTATAATTGGTATAATTAGGACAGAATTCCAAGCATTCCAAAACAGAAAGGATTTGTTTTAAAGTATTTTGCTAAATGAGTTTTTAACTTGATACATCATAAGACATTAAATAGGTGGATATACTGAACTATGGAAGGAAAACATCAAAATACAAAAATAATATAATTGTGATGTTTTTATATGTTTGTGTGAACAACAAAGGTTTCTTTTTCACTTCTAGGCACCTTGCTCAAATTTGCTAAAGAAAAAGCTGCCCAAACTTTTTTTTTTCTTTGTACTGTTGGAGTTTTTTTTTTTTTTTATTCAGGCACTCCAGATGCACTTGCCCACATAATAAACCTAACGAATAATAATAATAATAAAAAAAAAAAACTATTTCTGACTTTTAAAAGACAAAATTAAAAATTTGATTTAAAAGAATAAAGGTCTGTGTGTTATAGTTTTTATTTTTTGGGACTTTCACTTTTCAGTTAACAATCATTCTGTTTTGTTGATCTTTGGTTTATTTCCCATTTTTAAGCAGGCTCTAGTTACTCTCTGTTGCCCCCTTGTGCCTGTCTCCTTCCCCCTAGCTCCTTTCAAGTCTCTTCCATCCACACCTGCTTCATATCCGTTGGCTACACCAGTCTTTGTTCTGTCTCCCATATATATTCTCCCTGTGCAGTTCTTCAGTGCCGGTTCCTTTTGGTTGTTGCTTCCCCATCTCTGGCTCCCCACCTAAGTTTTCCTGATGTTTGCTGCTTTTTGATTCTAATTATTTTTATGTTTTTGGATGTTTCCCTCGGTTTCTCTTTACTAAACCAACAAGAACTCATCTCTGCATTTGGGTTGTCAAGCAACCTCTACCCTCACCATGACACTGTGACACATTTCACTTTGAGACAAACGAGCTCATTTCAATTATTATTTATTCCTTGAAGTATAGAAGTTTATGGCAGCAATATCTCTAGGTGAAGTTTATGCTGATAATGTTTAAAATTAATCATGAGCCTTTAGAATAAAGAGAGAAGGAATGAATATTATTAGTTGTGGGAAGATGACCAAAGATCACCTGATCAGAACGCTACAGAATTAAAGTTACTGGAGCGGGAGCCAATATATTAATTGATTAAATCAATGCTTGAATAAGATCATTTTGACTTTACCTTTTTCATTTGATTAAATTTAACAATGGGCTATATGAGCAGGCCATTGGTTCATCTCTCTCTGCCCTCAGTCTTCACTCCCATCACTGTTTAGTTAGTAAACCATCTAGGAGCCCAAGTCATATCATGTGTGCTATAGAAATCTTTGGGAGTCTCCGTTAGGATGCAGCAAAATTTGCAGAAAAATATGGGTATATTCAAGGCAGCTAGTGCTGCAGCGAAAGCAGACCCATCAGCAGCTGAGAAGGGAGCAGAGCAGAGACCCAGCAGGCTGCCAAGTTAATGCTCAGCAGCAGATGAGGAGAGGAAGGTAAAGTTGTAGGTTTTCTCTGAGGTAATGGTATGATTGTCTGTCAGGATTTATTTAGACATCTTTCTCCTCCTTCATCCATCTTCTCCACATTCATGGATGCATGACAGAAGCATCTGCTTCTATGTGATTCTCCCAGTTAACTAATCATGCTGCAGACAAATGCTTTTCTGTTTCCTCAAAGTTTACAGAGTCAGCTTTTCCTCTCAGTGAAAGAGAAACCTGGTGATGGCTCCTAGGCAGGCTCCCTGTAGGCTGATTTGTACAGGTGCTGGTCATAAAATTAGAATATCATGAAAAAGTAGATTGATTTCAGTAATTCCATTTAAAAAGTGAAACTTGTATATTATATTCATACATTACATACAAACTCATATATTTCAGATGTTTATTTTGTTTAATTTTGATGATTACAAATGACAACAAATGAAAATCTCAAATTCATCATATCAGAAAATTAGAATATTACTGAAGACCAATAAAAACAAAGGATTTATAGAAATGTTGGCCAACTGAAAAGTATGAACATGAAAAGTATGAGCATGTACAGCACTCAGTATTTAGTTGGGCCTCCTTTGGCCTGTATTACTGCAGCAATGCGGCGTGGCATGGAGTCGATCAGTCTGTGGCACTGCTCAGGTGTTATGATAGCCCAGGTTGCTCTAATAGTGGCTTTTAGCTCTTCTGAATTGTTGGGTCTGGTGTATTGCATCTTCTTCTTCACAATACCCCATAGATTTTGTATGGGGTTAAGGTCAGGAGAGTTTGCTGGCCAATTAAGAACAGGGATACCATGGTCCTTCAACCAGGTACTGGTAGCTTTGGCACTGTGTGCAGGTGCCAAGTCCTGTTGGAAAATGAAATCTGCATCTCCAAAAAGTTGGTCAGCTGCAGGAAGCATGAAGTGCTCTAAAACTTCCTGGTATGTGGCTGCGTTGACCCTGGACCTCAGAAAACACAATGGACCAACACCAGCAGATGACATGGCACCCCAAACCATCACTGACTGTGGAAACTTTACACTGGACTTCAAGCAACGTGGATGAAGTGCCTCTCTTCTTTTCCTCCAGACTCTGGGACCTTGATTTCCAAAGGAAATGCAAAATTTACTTTCATCAGAGAACATGACTTTGGACCACTCACCAGCAGTCCAGTCCTGTTTCTCTTTAGCCCAGGCAAGACGCTTCTGACGCTGTCTGTGGTTCAAGAGTGGCTTGACACAAGGAATGCGACAGCAGAAACCCATGTCTTTCATACGTCTGTGTGTGGTGGTTCTTGAAGCACTCACTCCAGCTGCAGTCCACTCTTTGTGAATCTCCCCCACATTTTTGAATGGGTTTTGTTTCACAATCCTCTCCAGGGTGCGGTTATCTCTCTTGCTTGTACACTTTTTTCGACCACATCTTTTCCTTCCCTTCGCCTCTCTATTAATGTGCTTGGACACTGAGCTCTGTGAACAGCCAGCCTCTTTAGCGATGACCTTTTGTGTCTTGCCCTCCTTGTGCAAGGTGTCGATGGTCGTCTTTTGGACAACTGTCAAGTCAGCAGTCTTCCCCATGATTGTGTAGCCTATAGAACTAGACTGAAAGACCATTTAAAGGCTTTTGCAGGTGGTTTGAGTTAATTAGCTGATTAGAGTGTGGCACCAGGGGCCATCAATTTTGAACCTTTTCACAATATTCTAATTTTCTGATATGATGAATTTGAGATTTTCATTTGTTGTCATTTGTAATCATCAAAATTAAACAAAATAAACATCTGAAATATATGAGTTTGTATGTAATGTATGAATATAATATACAAGTTTCACTTTTTAAATGGAATTACTGAAATCAATCTACTTTTTCATGATATTCTAATTTTATGACCAGCACCTGTATAGTGATTGCTTATTGGTCATTTAATAGAAGGAGTGGGGCAGGAGTTTGGGCAGATTGACAAGAGGAGGGGCACATTGTCCACCTGTGTACAATTCAAAACGCCCAGCACAACCTCAGAGATGTACCTCAGAGCGCCTCCTCCTGCCCCAGTGGATAGCCGGCATTGCATACTCTGAAACAGGATATAGACTTGCTTGTTCTAATCTTACCTCTGGTTTTTTATACTTATAGAAAATGTAATATTTAATGATTTTGCAGGAAAACCTCTTGATTAACAATTTGCACATTTGCAAACTGACTTACAGATTTTTGTTATTTATCCTTCTCACATATAAAGCCTTAAATGGCCAAGCTCCGTCTTATATCAGAGATCTGATTGTTCCTAACAGACCACTTTGCTCTAATCTGCAGGTTTACTAGTGGTTCCTAGTATTTCTTAAAGTAGAATGGGAGGCAGATCTTAGACTTCTGAAAGACATAGGGACCCCTTTTTCATCATCACCACTCTGCAGAATCTTTTAGGTCAATCTCTACGATATGCTTTTTCTCATAGTAGCTTCATCTGGTCTGTTCCTGTTTGGCTGTTACACCATCCTGGAGAGAAATATCAGCTGTGCCATCAACACCTTTGTTTATAGATGTTGCAGCTTGGCCTGTTTTTCAGTGTAGTCCTGTTTCTCCTGTGACTGGCCGGATGTGCTCTCTTCATCCTCTGACATGGGAGCTGGCTCAGAGCCGCTGGCTGCCTGGCTGTGTGTTTCCTGGAAGGGGTCGCCTTTTACAGTTGCCTTGTATCTCTGCTTCTGTCTCCTTGAACCCCAGTCAGCCTTGGCAGATAGCCGCTCACACTGAGCCTGGTTCTGCTGGAGGTTTTTCTTCCTGTTCAAAGAGAATTTTCCTCTCCACTGTCGCTACAGGCATGCTTAGTGTCAATGAGTCGATGCAATCAACTGGTTTTCCTTAGAAAAATATGACAATTTCACTGTATGATCTGGTGAACTGTAAAGTGCCTTGAGATGACGTGTTGCGAATTGGTGCTATATAAATAAACTGAATTGCATTTAATTGTTATATCTTTCCTTCATTTTTTTCATCAGCAACCTGTTTTGTTTTATCTCAATGAATGAGTGAGCCTCTGTGTGGACTCCATGCACCGCTCCACCATTTAAACTTCCCCTGAACCACTAAGAGTGTAGAGATACTGGCCGTGTGTGAGTCCTACAGGGAGAAAACTGGGATCACGGTTATCCCCAGAAATGCATCCCTCCCTCAAAGTTGGGGGTGGGGCAGTGGCGGCCGGCCCATAGGGGGCGCTGGGGCGAGAAACGTAAAATACATTTTTAGAAATTAACTCATAAATGTCAGTTTTACTCTCTAGAGTGTGTACCTATAAGAAAACAAATTATATAAACTACATTTCCCTATCTACTGTCATTCATTTGTGGATTTCCACAGACAGACTCCTACCGTCTCTGTTCTGGGGGCGCTGATCAGACAGACCCACATTTGCAGAGAATCTGTCAATCATGTACTATTGCTAGGTCAATTTAATAATTTAATGGCCAATCAGCGTCTCAGAATTTTATAGTCTTGGGGCGCTGAAAATACTGCACTTTAACAGGCTTCTGCACCCAAGCGCAGGTGCAGACAATTAGAGGGAAGATGGCGAATGTAACGACCGAGATGCAGCTTCCACCAAATTCGGTGAGATCCTTATTTATCTACCCGTTTGCCAGAAGAACATCCCTGTTGTAGGATATGAACATTTCATATCATGGTTATTGTGACTGTGACGAATCCACCTCGTCGCTTAAAACATCTTCTAACTTTGCGCGCCACAAACACATTCCTGTTATACTGTGCTTGTGAGGACCAATTCACTCGCGCTGAGCCCAGTAGCTCCATTAACTTAAAACACACAAGCTGTTCCTGGTTACCTGCTGGCATATTGAGGGAGCACACTTAATATTTCAGTGGGGTTAGCCGAGTGGGTGTGTGTACGTGTTTATGCTACGGGGACTTGTCATCTTCAGTCTGGCTGCGTCTTTGCTGGGTTCAAACCCAGTTTGGTGTAATTGAATAAGTCAATGAATCTGTGTAAAAGAATTAAGTTGTAAAAATTATTTGTTTTTGTACATCAATTGTTTGTGGAGGTAATATATGGACAAAACTGATTAATGAGAAGAAATCAGAAATAAGAGAGCCTGATGTGAGGGGCTTAAACTATTTAATGAGGGCTGTGGGAAGAAAAGCGGCCATTTTTGTTTTCTGTTTCTTTGTTACATTGCTGGTAACTGGAGGGAGGCTGAGGCCCAGAGTATCTTGTACATGTTTAGTTTCTTTTGCACCCTGTTTTAAAGTTTTTGAGCACAATATATCACCAACACCGGTAACCCGACTGAGCCTGGATTCTTGGAGGCCAAAGAACCCCGTCACAGTGACCCAAATCATCACTGTTACTGTTATTATATAGTAAATTAAATCATTACTGTTAAATTGTATGTATTGTCCAATTGTTTATTTGAATTCTTATTCCGGATTAGTTGGAGACATACACTAGGCTATATCAGCCCCACCAAAAATATTTTTCACCAGCCGCCACTGGGGTGGGGGTGTAGAATTGAAGATAAAATTTTCGCTATTGTCTCATATGAACATAAACATGAACACTGCACCGTTATATGGGCTCTCCATTCTTTGGGCACAGGAAGCGCTGATAGATGAATGGATGAGTGCAGTGAAAAAAATCCCAAACCAACCTGCTTTTGCAGACCCTACTGCTGCATGTACGTATGGACTTGTCTCACACAAGCCTACTGTCATGATGGGTAAAGAACCTAGCCCATATGCAGAACACTCGGAGGCAGGAGAAAAGTTCAAAAGGTTTATTAAAGAAATGTACAATGATTTAACAGGTCCAGGGTTAGGGAGACTGATCTGGATTTGGTTCACCGCTGATCAGGAGATAAGCAGAGCTGCAGAGAGGGGGGGAACCTTGTGGATCCAGAGGCTGTTGGCAGGCCAAGGGCTAGCAGAGCTGAGTGCTGACAGGAAGTGAACTGAGAGCTAGGCTGAGACAGTCTGAGTGCTGCGGGCTGGTTCCAGGTTGGGAACCCTGTGCAGGCAGGAGGAGAGTTGACAGCTGGGCAGAGGCAGTCTGAGTGCAGGTTGGCTGATTCCTGATAAGCTCTCTCTCTCTCCTGAAAGCTGGGTTGAGACGGTCTGAGTGCAGGCTTGCTGACTCCAGGTTTGGTTCTCTCTCTCTCTCTCTCTCTTGAGAGCTTAGTCTGAGGCAGAGGCAGGGCTTACTGTATGATTGCAGGCAGATCACGGACAGAGTCTCTCTCCAAGTTATCTTCTGAGGGCGGGCAGGCAGATGCTGACAGGAGAAGCCCTCCAGATTAAAACAGAGAGCAGGCAGACTGGTCACCGGCAGAGAAACTCTCCAGAGTTTCAGGTTAACAGGCAGGTTCAACCTGTGAGGCAGAGAGGAGAAAACAGGATCAGGTTCAGATCACAGAAAGTCTGAAGACTAAGACAGGCAGGTTGGCTCAGGTCTTGCTAACCGTAACTGGCAAACACTCTGGCGTTGGAGTGTTAGTCCCCTCCTTCTTAATAGGCCCAAGGCTGATCAGGAGATGAAAGACAGGTGTTGCAGGTGAGCACAAGCCCTCAGGAAGGGATCCTTGGCGCCCTCTGGTGGGCAAGCCTCTGGATCCCAACAGACAGCAGAAGCCCTCAGAAAGGGATCCTCGGCGCCCTCTGGTGGGCAAACCTCCGGATCCCAACACCTGCTATAAATCTAAAATTTAAAGGGACACTATGCAACATTTTTCAGTTAATTAATGTGTTCCATAACGTTATGGATGACTAAATGAGTCATTTCAGGTTGAACAAAGGTATTCTCGGCCGCCCTGGTGGTCTGTGGGGGAAATACTGCACTTGCAATTGCAGGAGCACCGACCCGCACCCACAGGCTCAGAAGTCTCGTGAGAGTCAGTCTTGCTTTACGGCGAGAACTGCTACACGCCCCCAGTTAAAAGCATTCTCGTTGCTAGCACAGTGGCAATCTTTGTGCAGTTATGCTACGTTCACGCAGCAAAAGCAGCAAAATCGCGTCTGCTGCTTCCTTTTTGGTGCTTGTGCCAGTTAGTTCTGACGCGTGGCTGAAGCAGCTTTGCTGCTCTGGCTGTGTCTGAGGCGCGTTGGGCGGAGCTTCACTATCCTTTCTCTGCCTTGCAGCTATATTTGCTGTGATCAGTGGGAATAAAGTAGTTTTAATATGTGTTTAAGTGAGAAAATACACCTGAAAACGTTATCAGTGCAGTCAGTTCATTCAGATTATTATCCTGCCTTCCATATTTTTTTTCTGTCGGAGCCGCTCAGACCCCCACATACCAGCGGGGCGCCAACAGTATGGATCCCTTCATCAGCAGCGGTTCACCGCGGCAGCTGGTAGGTGTTTTTCATCTAAATAATCCAAACTGCATATTCTGCCGGCAGATTTCTGCCTTTTAAGTTAATTTAGGCGTCAATAAACTGTTTAAGAGGAGTGATCATCAGCGCTGTGTCTCTCCCTGCGTTAAACGCACCCGACGCGCTGCTTCAGCTGCTCAGACGTGCTGCGCCTGGTGCTCAAAACGCGCCGCGGGACCTTTTGCTGCGCCTTGACGCGCGTCAACCATTGACTTTGCATGTAAACTCGCTGCTTCTGTCACGCCAGCTACGTCCAGTGTGAACGCAGCGTTAGTCATTCGCTGCTAAGCTCAAAACAACCGCGCCTGGCTTGACGGAGAAACCAGGAGAACAGCTGTGCATATTTACGACAGTGCACCTTTACTTTCGCCCTCTGGAGGGAGCCTCACTGGAAAATCAACACCGGTTGCATAGTGTACCTTTAAAAACATAGTTCAACAATAGTTAATATTTTGTCAAGGTAATTGGTTCATCTTCCCATGCACTAAGTCTGATTCTTTGTAAGTTTAAAAACTACTCTAGGGTATTTATGAGCTACTGTGTGTCTTGTGCTGTCTTTATTGAATTTGATGTAATATTAAAGCACCCATATATAGTACGTGCTCTCAACTGTAAGAGTCAGTTATACACTTATAGTCAGTGTTAGTAATGGTTATAGAGTAATTACACCTATATATACACGTGTTAAATTGACTTTATTCAAAGTCACGTTTGGCGAAAGGACTAAGAAATGTGCTATAAATTTTACGGGTGCAGTTGTAAATTAAAGAGTTGCTACTCAGACATGAACACAAGTGCCTCATTGTTTTTCTTACACGGAATCTACCATTATTTTCCAGATTGCTCTTTTTTATTGTGGCCGCCTCGCCTAGGACCCGTAACAATGGCAGTTCCAAGCCATGTCATAAATCATGCAGTCTATTAATCATTATGATAGCTCTTAAAATGTTACCAGTTTGATATAAGGGGTAGCAGTTACCTAGCTCCTGCTGACCAATAAACCAAAAAGAAAGAAGAAGCTTTAGTTATTTCAGAGATATAGAGAGGTATCGGTTATTGCAGGCTAACAAAGAACCCAAATAACCTCCATTCCAAAGGTGCGGGCCCCTTCACCTGGTTCAATTTGCATGTTTTCTAAGCCAAAACAAGTTTCCTGAAATAGTCTTAGAAACTTTGTCAATTCTTTTTAAATTTCTGCTGGCAATACTTCTGGACCGGGGAACTTTTTATTTGGCATGCCTTGAAGGACTACTTGCAGTTCAGTTAAAGTCAATGGGGAATCCAATTGTAATGCTTCACTCTGATAATTTAGGATTTGATCCAGAAATTGGTCGGCAAAAAATAACTTTTCTGATTGTACATATTCCATCTATGAAACATTCTCTTATCTTTGACACCATCTAGCGGCCATGATGATTAACTACGTGAAGCCATTCCTTTTTTGCTCGAGTAGTGGCCGAAAAGAATGCTGCAGGTTTTACTTTCACATAAAAAATATTTTAAAACATAAACTTAAAAAAACCTAAAGGCTTATAAGGGTTGCAAAAACTGGTTTACAAACATACAGTTCCTCTGAAACACTTAAAACACTAAAAACTTAAATGTATTTAATATAATGTATTTCACTTAATGTATTTCATTTGAATGCGTCAAACAGCCCAAAAGAAGAATGTTTAAAGAGGTAGCAAAAGGTGTGAGATTGTAATTCTTTATGTTTTTGAGCAAACAACAATCAGACAAATCCACTGTATATTTCAATAGAGCTCCTTTTACTGATACCCCTAAACCAGTAAAATGATTTCTCTAAGGAATTGTTTTGATTAGTTAATAGAGAATGTCTGTATATAGGCTAATTTATTATGTGGGAATGATATTTTTCTATTAAGGATAATAAAATATATGAGTTTTAAAGTAAAAAACACCCCAAACATTCTCCAACACAACACATCTCCTTCTACATAGAAACTGCAGTTTTTTGTCAATGTGGAGAATAACCTGGGAATAAACGTCTCAGCATTAAGCTTTAATTTACAGCGGTGACCAAAACATGCTGCCAGAACTAAAATGTAATGGTTTTAATTAAAATATAATCATATGTTTAGACAGAGAAGAGGTTAGTTGGTGTTTTATGGTGCTCGGGTCAACATATGATTATGTCTTTGTAATAATTGTGTTAGATTAAAATTAGCTTGTTTACTAAATAAATAAATAAATAAATAAATCAATAAATAAATAAATAAAGCCTCCCTATCTATATATATTTTGTTTTTAAACCCAAAAAAACTCACATCGGCTGTAATGAGCAGGTAGCCTACAGCTGAGCTCTCCATAAAGAGCTCCTTTTATCTGCCGCTCCAGCGCGAGCTACAGAGTAGGAGGGCTCGCGCACAAAGCGACGCACGGCGCTCGCGCTGTGATGGGACTACAAGGCTGTTAGCGCTCTCCGCTTCCTCCTCTTCCATCATGGCTCCCTCCATAGACAGGCAGGGATACTGGGGGCGGCCCACCTCAACGCTGGAATGGTGCGAGGAGAATTATGTCGTTTCTTTTTACATCGCTGAGTTCTGTGAGTTAAACCTTAGTTTCCCTTTTAAAGCCAAAGCTTCGGTTTTAGGAGACTTTCCGGGGTGAGGGTCAGACTGAACACCGACAGTCGCCTCAATGCCGTAAACATTGGGAACAATCGGACCCAGAAATCACAGATGTTTTTAAAATATCGCGTTATTTTGGTAGACGTTAACCTGACCTGCGATAGGAGCTGTTAGATATTAACAAAGAGACAAACTGGGAATGTTTAGAAGCAGCTGTCTGTCGGTTGGTGACCAAAGATTCATTCTTACAGTCCAGAGACTGATGGCTAATGTTGTTATGAGCGAAATTAGGTTAGTTTTCTTTGTGTGAATGTGTAATTAAGGTTTATTTACACTTTGTTATAAGATAGGTGTTTGAGAACATATTTAACATGTGAGCAATATCTCTGCTGATAAATGTTCTAACCTTTGTGTTCAGGACATATTTGGTCCTGGCTTTATGACGCATTATAAATTACTTTAATGAAAAAAACACCTTGTGAAGTTCAAAGGTTTCTAGGGGCTTTTGTTAATAAATACATTTTCTTAGTTTTTTTTTAGGTTTTAAATCTTGTACTTTATGTAATAAATATGAAATCTGTAGTCTTTGTGAAGATACACACTTTGTTTTCTCATGTGTAAATGCTCCTTCTAATGAAATATTGATAAATAAATGAGTTATTGCTTTATTCTATTGTCAAATTCAGCTTTTTAAATAATTGATTAATTGATCATTTTAAAAAATGTCAGGGAAGAAGACAAAATGCAATTACCAATGAAAATATGTGGTTTTTTACATTTTTTTTTCTTTTGGACTTTACTATAATAACATTAAAATAGGTTGACTCTACAGTATGGGCAGGCTGTCCTACTATCTATCGTGGTGTTAAACTGAAATATTTGAAAAATCATAGAGACTTCAGGAATCACTTTGGATGTGATAAAACTCTTAGCAAGAGTGACCTAAGAATAAACTATTCCAGCCAGAGGCTTTTATTTTTACCGAAAGAGTTAAATCTATGGTGTGTTTTAAGTTAGCTGTTGTCTTCTGATTAAAGGGCGTTCCTGAACAGTGCAGGCACATTTTTGAAGCTGATAATATGTTCCCTCAGTACGCTTTGAGTCTTCTTGTTTTGTCTTAAGATAAAAACTGGTTCCTCGAGCACCTGTATCTTAGATTTAAACTGTGTTTCTATCGGACCATTCAGGCAGCTGCCTTGTCAGCAGCAAGATGCAAAGATATGACTGGTGCTGCACTTTTACTCACACACCCTCACAGTTTAGCCAAATAAGACAAAGCTAACATCACTCACTTTGTTATTGCTAAATCATCCATATTGTTGATGAATGTAGTAATTATGAGAGTTAAGAAAATAGAAATAATTAGTTGAAATGTGGAAAAATTAATATATTTATCCAGATAAACTGGTTTATAACTGCCTACAGCAACAGCTTGTTCAAAGAGAGATAAGGCCAAGGGGGTCAGAGTTTAGACTGCTTTAGTAGTGACAAAAAACCCCATCTCTGACTAGCAGTTTTCTAAACTTTCCCACCACAAATGCACCTGCCGGATATCAGTTAAAGCTTTTGTTTGCATAAATAACAAGCGCCTGTTTTCAGCTGCAGGACAATGGTTTGGTGTTTAAACTACCCTTATTCAGGCTTCGGCGGCTGGAATGTGGCCGTGTTCTTTGGGCTGCCATGACTTTTAGTTTATATTTGCAGTGGTGAGGACATCACAGCATGCATATCATTCAGATATTTGCACTTGCTCATTGAACTGTTTAAGCAACACGCCCACGCTGACATGCTGTGGTGTGCTTGGGCTTTGTTTGCATTTATTATCCATTACCAAAGTACATACATTTCAAAAGGGCCAATAAAAGGACGTGTGGAAATACATTGACATTTATTACGCTGCACATAATGGACTGTACTATTTAGTTCTGTTGATCCTTCACCGGCTTATTCGTTTTCCAGTTACTTATATATTTACCCCCATTGCAGAAAAAATATAATTTCATACTTTTGCTGGTTTGGCTAACAAGTTGGGTACAGAAACATATATCTGAATCTAAGACTTTAATTTATCAACTATATATTTTTTTCATCAGTTTTATCTACAGATGAATTAACCATAAACCAATATATTTTAATTTAATGTATTTCTATAGAGCCAATTCACAGCACGGCATCTCAAGATAGATAGACAATACAGCAATCAGTCACATTAAGCATGCTTCTAGTGACAGTGGAGAGGAAAAGCCCTTTAAAAAGGAAGAAACCTCCGGCAGAACCAGGCTCAGTGTGAGTGGCCATCTGCTGAGGGCAATTATGGTTCAAGGAGACAGAAGCAGACATAGAAAAAGAAGCAGAGATCCAAAAGACAGCTGTCAACCAGCTCCACAGGCGGCCTCGTCCAGGAAAGACACAGACAGGCGCACAAGCTCCGGGGCAGCTCCCATGTCAGAGGATGAAAGAGAGCACATCCACTAAGTTACAGTCAGAAAAACAGGACTACACTGAAAAACAGGCCAAGCTCAAACATCTAAAAACAAAGGTGTTGATGGCAGCAGCACAGCTGATATTTCTCTCCAGGTTGGAGTCACAGCCAAATGGGAACAGACCAGATGAAGCTACTACGAGAAAAAGCAGAGAGATCATAACTTTAGAGATTGATTTAACAAATTCTGCAGAGAGGGAGAATAGTTAGAATGAAGCAGAATAATGAAAAAGGGGTCCCTACGTCCTCCAGCATTCTAAGCCTATAGCAGCATAACTGTAGAGATAGCTCAGGATAACCTGACTTGTGCAGATGAGGTATGAGAAAGGTAGAGGCTAGAGCCAAGGAGCAACGTCTGTCTTGACTTAAATAAATGAGTCTTATTTTCTCCCAAGTCATCGTGCAAACCTTTGCATAGTTTTTCTAACTTCAGTTTATCTTTGATCCTGATGTTCCATCTGTCTCTTGAGCTCGGTGTGAAGATAAGATATGAAGATATATGCAGAGAAACGCCAGTTTGGCTGTAATTCCATGAATAGTCTTGTAATAGGCAGGTATTTATGTAAGGGCAGCACATGATACAATTCATTTTGCTCATCTGATTAAAGTTTTTTCATAAAAGCCAAGACATGGTGACAACCTGTTTGACAGGCAGGTTTTTCCAAAAAGCATCCTAATACAACTTCTTTACAACTTCGTTTACAACTTCTAAAACTGGGGGTGTAATTAGCTTGTCTGCTCTGCAGCTTCAGGACCTGCATATTATGTTACAACAGAGGAAAGCATTAGCTCTGAAATTTCCCACCATCACCTGTTCACCCTGTCTTAATGACCCTGATTATCCAGGGTCACTAAGATTCTTCTACTCTTTTTCTTTTTTTGTTGAGTTTTTTCAGCACTAGTGGCTCATTTTTCAAACTGTAGGCTGAGTGGAAGGTGTGTAGAGAGGGGCACAGACATGCAGCAAAGGACCACAGGTCAGATTCAAACCAGGTTGGCCACGTTGAGGTTAAGGCCTCCATACGTGGGTCGTGCGCGCTAACCACTTCCCCACCGAAGCACACAACAAGTATCTGTTGTAGATCAACAGAAACAGTTTGATGGCATCAGTCTGACTGATCCCCAATTTCTGCAGCCGATTGTTTTTAGGCTGTTCTTGAAGCTGATGTTTTTTCTTTCTTTGATAGCAGCTGGAGGGAGCAGCAAAGCATGTGCTTTATGTCACCTTAAGAAATGGCTGCTGAATGAACTAATGGATCGGCCGATGCTAATATTGGCAAAAAATATTGAGAATAACTCTACTCCGTTTTCACATCACGTACCAGGCGTTATCACTGGAACATGGTTTAATTAGCAGAATTTTTATGTCTTTTTTACTAAATTCTTCTGATTTTAAAGTTTAGGACATTTCAACTTTTTTTATTTATACTTTATTTTACTACATAAACAACCTCTACATGCTGTTTGTAGAAATGTCTGAAAGAAGTTTCTTTATTTTTTTATTTTTTTTGCGAATAAAGTTCCGTCAAGCTAAAAAAAAAACTAACAAAAAAAAGTCCCACCAGAAGTTTGGGAAGAAACCTAAACATAACGTCAGTCGTTTTTATAGCTAGACCTGATTTATTACCTTTAGTTTATCCCCTCCTCTAAGATCTAACCCTGAGCATTTCACTGGAAACCTAGACCTAATTTAGACTTATTTAATATGAGTTCAGTAAATTCTCTTGGTTTGCATTTCTGTCATTAATTGTAAAAACGTCCCCTGCAGTGATATTCTTCCGGTCGATGTGTCTGTCTGCTCTAGCCTAACTCAGGGCAGAACACCACTAATACTGAGCCTGGTTCTAGTTCTGATGGAGCCTTTTTCCTGTTTCTTCACCACATGTCTGTATGATTTCATTAGATTTGTAAAAGGTTTGAGATGATGTGAATTAGTGCTGTAGAAATAAAGCTACGAAATCTGAAGCACACCAGCTACTCCACCTCTGAATGAGTCAAAAGACAGCGGCTCAAATCCCAGTGAGATGCTGCTGTGGTACCTGCATTTTATATTTTCTCACTTTATTTTTAACTTTTTATCTGAAACATTTAAGTTCAGCAGCAAAAGAGAAAAGATAGGAAATCAGTAATGGAGAAGACATTTATGTGTTTGTCTCTGTAATCCATGAAAAATGGAAGAATGAAGTGTTCTGCCCTGATGCTGTGGGCTGTTTAGTGGCTGACTTTCAGGTATGACCTGGTGAAAGCGCCTTTGGTGTCGATGTTGAATGATATGTGGACCGATGGATCACGGTTCTGATAAGGTGAAAGCTGAACTTTAGGCAGGCATAAACTCTCAGACATGGACCCCTTTTCCTGATCATAACGTGGAAACATTTATCTACAGATGGTTAGACTGCAGGACTGAATAAAAACGTCTGTCCTGAGAACCACACCGCGCCATGTGCTGACGAATCAAACACACCCATTGTCCTTCTTAGGCCTCTACTGTGAGACAAGTTGAACATATGACGATTTGTTATCGTACTGCAATGAGCCTAATAAAAGCAGCGCTTCAGAGCCGACCCAGGAAGGTGAAGGCTTTGCCAACGCAGCAACTATTTGTGTTCCCGCTAAAAGGGCAGCGTTGGCAGCAGAGGCACGTTCGCAAGCGTTTAGAAGCTTAAAGGGGGAAAAATGCTCCAAGAATCTGTATTCTGCTCTGCAGATGAGGAATTTTGAAACGTTGGCAAATCTCTCAACAGTTTTTGCTTTGTGTTAACGGATTAGTTGATTTAAAGCTTATAACTTAGCGTTGCTGTTTCGGGTGGTGTTACAGAGCCATAAAAACATTATCTGCTCCATGTAGGAAAGCCAAAGAGCACAAGGTTATATGACCTCAATTACCCTTTTGCTGTAGATAAACAGTTTGTTCTGCTTGATTTTTGCCCCCCCCCAGTTTCCTTCAGTTCTTTTAATATTTTGTATGACTGATGGCCTCTCAATAACTTCATCTTAGTTTCTGTGTGCTGATTTTTTATCTTTATTTTCAGCTGTTTTATATGTTGGCAGGTCACAGTTCATTCAGCTGATACCAAGGTTTAAAATAATACTTTGATCCGAGCAACTGCTTCTTGTTATGTCTTGTTTCTGAATTAGTTCATTCTCAGAATTAAAATAACTAACAGAAAACACAGAGATTTGGTTGTAAATAGTTTATGAATCAATGCTCACACCTGAAAGAAAACAGAAACCTCATGTCAACCAGGAAACGCCTAAACATAGTGGGTAGCTAATTAGTAACCTTGGAAACAGGATTCACCTTAGGTTCCCTCAGTAACGTCATTTCCCGTGCCCTTTGAACCAACTTTAAACAAAGCAGAAGTTGTGGTCAGGATTAGAAATCACTGTTCACTGTGACATTATTTCACTGTAGTAGCTCAAACATTGAAGTTTTGCAAATGTTTTAGGGCTGAAACAATGAATTGGATTAATCAATTATTGAAACAATCATCAACCTATTCAGTAATTAATTAATCTTTAACTAGAGTGTAGAGACCGTAAAACATGTCTTTAGCTGACAGAGCAACTCAATTAGAGCAGGAATTATATGAAAATAAAAAAAGAAATCTGTAAAGATTTTGCATGTAAGAAAAAATTATGTTTTTCATTTGTCGATATTCTCTATCCAGAGGTTTTAGTTATGTTTGGTTTAATTCCATAAACAAATCTTCTTTAAGGAACCGTTGGCTATTCGATTACTAATCGAAAAAATTATCGATAGCTTAACTGATTTGCAAAATAATTGTTAGTTGCAGCCCTAATATATTTATATATTTTCTCCTTATTTCTCCCTTTGAACAGGGAACACTGTCAGCAACCTGATCATGATCCTTCCTCCTTTATATGGAGCTGTCCAAACTTTTCGGGACGGCCTGGAGTTTCGCTATATTTGCTCGTTTCTCGGACTCTCAGGTAAAGATGAAGGCCTCACCGTATTCACAGCTGATTCTTCAGAAAGTCAGAACCTCCTTTCATTCAGTCTTTCCTGTGTTCCTTAATGTAACCCAGCTGTAGGTGTTGGTTCCTGGTGTTTCCACATGACACTCCTGTATGAGATGCAGGTGAGATACGCGGCTGCATCTATGTTTCCTCTAAGCACAGCTATTTTTGCCTGTTAACACAGATCAATGTCTGTTTTCTTTCTTTGCAGCTGCTGGATGAGTTGCCAATGATTTACAGTACATGTGTCTTTGTATACTGTCTGTAAGTGGATCAGCTTTTCACATTTGTTTTTTTTTTTTGATCCCCTTTTAACTGCTAAAACATTTAAGATCGTTCCTTAATGTGAATACATACAGATGGTTAAACATAAGCTAGCTTAAAAGTTAAATATTTATTGCTGCCAAACAATCTCCCCCTGAAAAAGGAAAAAAAAAAGCCGTTTTTTTCAGTTGGAAAAGTGAATCACATGTAGAAGTCAGGATCACTACTGGAACAGCTGTTGATAGCCTGCAGGAAAATCCTTTTGGTCAACAGGACAAATTTAGTCATCTCCATTAACTCATATTATTTCCCAAGCTTGCAGCATCCAGATAGAGGGATTGTCCCTCACTGCTCTCTGTAGAGGGAGGCTGACATTCTGTCTGTGGGCCATTATTTAACTGAAGACAGTAACAGCCAGTTCAGACTTCATTTTACTGTTTACGTACGATAAACTCAATACCTAACGAAATGCTTGATAGCATTTATTGTTAATAGATCGTTAGCCTAACCAACACTGGCCCCAGTTTAGAACTGTTCATAGTTTTTATACTCAAGTGCATCATCTTTTATCGTTTCAGAAGCTAAATGTAAATAATGAGACGTTTTTCTTTTGTTCAGGTATGAGTGCTTCAAGCAGGAAAACGGCATCAGTGTATTTCCTATAGTATTGTTGGTCATTTTCAGTGTCTCAGTCACATTGGTGAGTTCTTTCAGTTATTACAGAAATGTCTTACAGTAAACACTGAACTGAAATAGTCTCATATAGTTTCTGTATTTATGCGTCTCAGGTGTACTTGCAGTGGAAGGAGCCAGTTTTTCACCAGGTAAGGTTTGCTTTATGTCAGGTTTGTCTGCCTCCTTCAGATCACTGTTTGCTCTGAGGGCTCAGTGGCTAACCTTTAGCTCCTGTAAACAATGGGCTGGCCTACGCAGCACTGGGACATCGTTAGAGCTGACTGTCTGTCTGTCTGACTGTCCATCAGTCGGTCTGTCTGACTATCTGTTTGACTGTCAATCCGTCCGACTGTTTGTCTGTCTGACTGACTATCTGACTGTCTGTCTGTCTGTCTGACTGACTATCTGACTGTTTGTCCGTCCGTCTGTCTGACTGACTATCTGACTGTCTGTCTGTCTGACTGAATATCTGACTGTCTGTCCGTCTGTCTGACTGACTGTCTGTCCGTCTGTCTGAGTGACTATCTGACTGTCTGTCCGTCTGTCTGAGTGACTATCTGACTGTCTGTCCGCCTGAGTGACTATGTGACTGTGTCCGTCTGTCTGACTATCTGACTGTCCATCTGTCTGACTGTGTCTGTCTGACTGACTATATTACTGTCTGTTCTTCTGTCTGACTGTATGTCTGACTGACTATCCGCCCATCCGTCTGTCTGTTTGTCTGTCCCTTGTCCAACTGTCTGTCTGCCTGTCTATTTAACTGACTTTCTACAAATGCCCTTGATCAAGAGAAACTATTTTTTATTTTATTCAGCAGTAAAATCATTATCTACAGGGTAACATTTTTATGGTACCACATAACGTGTTGACCGAATCAATAGCATATCTATAAACTATTTGTTAACTATGTATAAGCAGAGCCTTATTGGAAACTGGTATCAATTATATAATGTTTTTAGGACTTCAAAGAGAGGCTGATAAAGACCTGAAGTGACCTTTTGCATTGTGACGACATTGACCTTTTAATGATTAACAATCTGGTCAACTTGAAATCCTTTATTTTAAGCCTAAATCTAAAAGATCTTAGTAAGAAAGTATTGATGCTGAACGTCCTATACTCAGCTCTAGATGAATATAAAATAGAAGGAAAAGGTGATGTCATGGCTTCACTGCGGCTTCATGCTGCTCAGGCAGCAGCAGCTGGACTTTGGCCTTCTTGGTTTTTGGCCTTAAATAAAAAACTGAGGTTATAGAAAAAGCTGAAAAAAATTTGATTGAGTTCTTATTTCTTTTTCCCCTTTAATTTGATCTGAACAAGGAACCTTATTGTTGCTTAAAAGGTACAGTGTAGTGATAACTGGGAGTCTATTATGGTGTCACTTTTTTTTAAAGTTGCACAAGATCGATGCTTTTAGTTCTGCAAATGAAAACTACGTGAACCAAAAGGGCTGTCCTAAAAATATACTCTATAAGCTCGATTATTTATGCAAACCTAAAAACATTAAATTAATCAAATCAAATGAGCTATTTTTACTTTAATTGAGCTCTAACCTTTTATAATCTTACATCTGTAGGTATAGGAGATATTAAACACATAAGAAGCTTGAACTTCGACTTAATTAAACCAAAACCTTTTCCTTTGGAGTTTACCTTTGATATTGTCCCATTTAATTTAGGAAATATATAAATTACTGAGTAATGATTATATATATTTGCTGATGCGGATTTGTCTTTGGACACATGAGCAAAGACTGAACAGCATTATTGTTGTCTGACTCCTGACAGCAGGTAGCAGCTCAGATGAAAATCCTCATTTTTATCAAACAAACATCTCTACTGGTTAAAATCTTATCACCAAACCGTCAAACATTAATCTGGATGTAGATTTCTGCAGCGTGGTTTTACAACAATCTAACATTTAACCCGTTTTTTTATAAAGAAAAAAAAAAGCTGCTAGTTTTGTCCGTTTGTCAGAACAGGTGATTAAGTCATTGATAATCCCTTAAAGTATCTCTGCTGGTTATCTACTCAAAGAGGCAGAAGTGAAACTGATGACAGTTTTATTTTTTCTTTTAGGTTTCTGTAAAACCTCAGTTTCATTAAACCAAATATCAGGTTAAAAAGAGCTTTTCCTCTCCAGCAGAAAGTTCTGTAAATGTGTTTCCCCTCTCAGGTCATGTACGCTGCCCTGGTAGCTTGCCTTGTGTTGCGTTCTATCTTCATTGTGACATGGTGAGTACTGTTACTTTAATAGTTCAGATCCACTCAGCGTGGTCCTGATGAAGGTTGTTCTCTCCTGGTTCCAGGGTGTATCCGTGGCTCAGGGGGCTCTGTTACACATCTTTAGGGATCTTTCTGTTAGGCTTCCTACTCTGGAACATCGACAACATCTTCTGTGACTCTTTAAGGTGAGTAGATAGTTGTTGTTTTGAAATATTATAAAATTGGAATCTATATTTACACTAAATATTCTGTGCGAGTAGAACAAAATATCTCCTTTCTTTCATATTTCATCCAAAAATCACACTTAGTTGAAATAATGAAAGTAATAGCATGTTGAAATTCATTGCGACTCCATCATGGATGAAATAGATTAAAAATGTTTTTGACCCTTTGTGGTGGAATGTGTGAAATGAAAAGCTCAGTTTTTGATAAAGCCCTTTTCTTCTTTCTCTAACTTAGAGCCAGTAGAAAAATGCTGCCCCCTGGTGTTGGAGTAGCAACTCAGTTCCATGCCTGGTGGCACATCTTCACAGGTCTCGGTTCCTACCTGCACATACTGCTCAGGTTGGACCTTTATCTGTGTCAGAAACCAAATTCTTAGTAATGATGCTTTTTGTGAACTTGCTCTAAAATGAAACACCTGCAGTTTGCAGATCCGATCCACCTACCTCAAGCACAGACCGAAGGTTAAGGTACGTCAACGTTGTGACTTTAAAGAAACTGTTAAGTTTTAATTCATAACCTGTTGCTGGATGTTCCCTTTGTTCAGTTTGTGTTTGGAGTCTGGCCCACGCTGCACATTGAACCACAGAAGACAAGCTGAGAGGAGAAGATGTCTACTAGCTAAAGGATGGAGACTGCCAAATAAGGCAATCCTGGCAAATAGAGCTGCCAGTTCTGCCTTTCTAATGCTGGGGAACTGGTCCCAGTCAGCGGCTTGGTGAACCGCAGGGCTCCAACTTAGGGACCTTAGTACAGCATAGCACTGAATTAAATGTCAAGAAACTGAAGATTATTTTTATTGATAATAATTTATTAGACTAGTTTGTTAAGTTATTTTAAGTGGGTAGTGTTTATTTTTTATTTTTCATTGCAGTGAATGAATGACGTAGTTCACTTCTGTGGTAAATATAGAAGGACTTACAGACATTTCATTGATTTGAAAAATTGTTGAATATTTCCAATTGATTCAAAATTCTGTTTTATTTATAACCAATCAGATAAATAATCAAATCGAATGATCCATAATATATAAATTTCTCCCTTCAAATATGACATTACCCTTATTCAGGCTCAGCTCCTCAAGCTGGGTAGCTTATAATATAGTTATTGCGGGGGAAAAAGGAAATATACTTATAATGGATTTAATACAAGAGGAAAATCCATCTTATAAACTTAGCTGAAGATTTTTACTTGATGTTTCCATAAAAATGATTTTCCATAACTGGAATTCTGATGCTTTCTAAAAATCCCTAATTATGTTGCCAAATTTGCACTTTTGTTTTATTACTAAGTACTCATCCAATGTGTGAAACGGTTTAACTGTTTACTTGCTGTAATGTTTTAATGAAAGTAACGTTCTAACACAGGTTTTATTTCCCAAAGTCCCCAGAACATCTGAGCCTCAGGTTTTTCCTAAGAGAGTCCTAAATGAAGCAGCTGCTTAATTGGAATGACAACCTCTAGACATGGGATGCTTTATGGTACCAAGATAAAGCGATCTTTCAAAATTAAGGTTTTAAAACGTGCTTAAAATGTAGAAAATTTCTGTCTAATGTAGAAAATGTTGAAGTAATTTTCATTGGTTCACACTGCTGATCAGCTGGCTGAAAAAGATTCATGCTAGTGATGGTCCAGCAGCTCCGATGCCGCATCGAGCTCACAGAGTAAAACTCCATGTTGGTGCTCGGATCGTTTGTAGAGTCTTATGACTGATAAAGGAGCGGCTTGAAACTGACTGACGCACTAAACTGTCAATGAGACAAATCTGCCACAAAAATCTCTGATCTTTAAAGTTTCTTTATCAAATTCATCAGGAAATATGGAGGGACCAATTTTTTTTAGACCATTTAGATCTCATATTTGTTTTAATTTTCTCCTTATGTCATCCTGCTCCTCTCAGTTATCACTCAAGTTATCTGAATTTAAATGAAATTCAAATCGACTTTTAGTTTACCGTTTTTACTGTACTTATACTAGTACATTATTTATTGACTGCATCTAAACATATCAAACATATTTTCACTTTAAACAAAGATATGAAATGATAGAATATGATATAAAATGACATAAATCATATTATTGTACTAGGCTGGATGTAAGAATTGTAAAGGTCCAGCAGGTGTCAGTATTGAGTGACTCAGTATCAGTACAGTTTGCAATATAAAAATACGCTCCCTGATGCCTCATCAACCATTGCTCATTCATAAACGTTATCTGCATGTGCAAGAAGAAGAAAAAATGTCTGTTTATCGAAATGAATAAAACAATAACTTTAAGTAACCTGCTGTTATAATAATAATGTAACCGTTTTTGTTTGGGATAAGAATTTGTTGTTTTCCCTTTTAGTAACAGAGATCAGTAGATACTGAGACCTATACTTCATTAAATTGACATAAACACAGACAGCAAATTTAATTCTTACAAATACTAGGATCAGAAAAATATCTGGGATCAGTTTTGGACGTCTTTTTAATAGAGAATACTGTCTTTTTTTTATCATCAAAAAAATTTTTTTTATCAGTAATTAAATGAAATTACATTTTTTTAAAGCTTTATAAAAATTGAAAAGAGCCAGAGAGTCTAAGACCGGCCCATGCTTAATTACCAGAAGATCTTTGTGCCTCATTTAGGATCCTTCTTGGAAGAAAAAAACTTGAAAGTGTTGTGAAGTGAGCCGGTTAGATATGATTGATCAAAATAAAAATGTGATTATTCAAATGAAATCCGATTTAACCTCAGTCAGAGAGCAATGCTTCACTGGCATGCTTTTAAACACTATTAACCTCTGAATGAACACCACACTTTCACATCGTTTAATCTGCTGCATTTTACGTAAAATACTTATTTATTCATCTTCCTCTGTTTAACTTTTCGACATCTTCTAGCTGGTTTGATGAAACTGAAAACCTCTATGAGTAGTTCATGATAAAACCACTAGATGGCGTCCTGTTCCAGCTCATTGTGGAGACTGGAACCTGAGCTGCTGGAATCTGGCTCAGCTCTCATGTCTTTGACTTTGTGTTAATGAAGGGCTTTTTATGTTCTGTTACTGTGAAGCAGTGGATGTGTATCTGCATCAAACAAACTTGAAATAACTGGTTCTCTATAATATGCAGACTTTAGCCACTGAGGGTTATATTCTGAACAGTGCGTGTTACTTTATTTTTCATGATGTACTTGGGTTGCTGAGTTTTTAAGCCAAGTGTTAAAAATATTCATAAGCACAATGTATGAAACCTAAGTATTAGCGTCCTCTGATTACTTTGCCCTGTGTTATCTGAAGTCCCTGCTCATTAGAACCGAGCAGGTCACAAAGAGGGTGCCTTATTGTTATCACTGCAGTGTAATCCAGGTTGCCTTGATATTTAAAGAAGCATTTCATTTTATCCATTGTGTTTTGTCCTTAACCTGAATATTAGCCATCAGGAGGACCAACTTCCACAGCTTTTAATGCAAAGTCTGGGCCTGATTCTTTTGCCTTTTTTCATATCATGCATGGAAAAATAAACTCATTGTTCTGCATACATTGCTAGTATAAAGCGAATATCACTTTTGTGTTTATGGCCAGAACACCAATCTCTGCCAGCAGCTTTGTTGTACTTTGATCGGTCTTTGAAGATTTTCTCTGATGTCAAATAAAGGAAATTGTGTCAGATTCATGAAGTCCTGTCACTTTATATCGTTGGGTTCCTTACAGGAAATTATGTAATGCTGCTTACTGAACATTTTGTGCTGCTAATGATTTTACTATGACCTAAAAAACAGGAAATATCTGTACATCTTCAGAGGAAATATCAGTTGATTTTTGACTGAAGGCAGCCTTTTAATGTAACTAAGCCCAAAATCCACTTTTCACAATTTAAACAAAAAAAAACAGAGTTGTTGGGTTTCTATTTTAAAGTTGTGCTTTTTTTTTTTTACATGTGAGAGTTTGTTCTGTATTATTGTATCTAAAACCTCAGTGTTTCCTAGGCAGTTGAACAAAGAGGATTGTGGTAGATTTTCCTATTTGATTTAATTGTACAGGCTGCACTGCAAAAATGATCTTGAAATAAGTGAAAATGTCTTAAATTAAGTGTATTTACCCTTAATTTGAGTAGGCAAATAAGATCACCTGCCAATGGAATGAGTATTTTTACTCTTAAAATTAGATATTTAGATAACATGCACTTGAAATAAGACAATGCAATTGTTTCATCTTATTTTAAATGTTAATTGTCTTGTTTTATTGGCAAAGTGTCTCACTTACCTCCTCAATTCAAGAACAAATGCACTTAATTTAAGAAAAATTGACTTACGGTATCTAGATTTAGATTTTTACCAGCGTGGTTTATGCCTACAGCGGGTACATGTATTCAAAACTACATGTACCCCATGTTGTCAATAGGGGTAGTCCCCCCACACACACACATCTGGATATAAATACAACCAAATGAGTTAAACGCCTCTGTAAGCGAGTCATCCTGTCCTCAGTCATTACTGAGTCAGTGCCTTGAAGCAAGCGGGGTGGTTGAAGAATCCTACATACTGCAAAACCAATGTAGAAATAAGTAAAAAATTCTCAAATTAATTGTATTTACCCTTAATTTAACCAGGTAACTAAGATTATCTGACAATAGAATCAGTGTTTTTACTCATAAAATAAGAGTTAGATAATATGAACTTGAAATAAGACAATGAAATTGCTTTTTCTTATTTTCAATGTAAATTGTCTTGTCCCATTGGCAAAATGTTTCAGTTACCTCCTCAATTCAAGATGTAATGCACTCATTTTAAGAAAAAATGACCTATTTAGATATCAATTTCTTTGCGGTGCACAACCAAAGATCTGCTTACTGCCCCTGCTTCAATATAGCTAACCGAGGTGAATTGCACCTTAAAAAGTTCCCGGCATAGCATTGTCCTGCTGCAACTTGGATGTGGATGGAAAACTACTTTATCTAAACCCTTTTATTGCTCTTCTGGATGTTTACATTCCTTTTCCTACTGGAAGGGGAACTTTTGTTTAAGTCTTTTGCAGGTTTTCTTCTAAGGTTGGCCTCTATCAAAGGTGCATAGTAATGTTATTTGACTTTTTCTTTTTATCTATAAGGCAGTAACTCACTCTGGTTGCATGGAAAATATTTCTCAGAAATTAGAAGTTTCTTATTTAACAGGATTATTTTACAGGTTATTATATAGTGACTGGCTGCACATTAGTTATTACAAAAAACTAATTGCAGTTATAGTGCCACGTTGTAAAGTTTAATGACAGCAGTGTGAATGACCTGCGGTAGTGCTCCTTTTTACAGGCAGGTTGTAAAAGTCTTTTACTAAAGGGGTTGCTCCACTCCTCTACAGTCTGGTGCAGGTATGTGGAAGGTATTGTCCATGGTGGATGTAACCTCTCAGCCACTTCCTCCACTAAGACCCAGGACAGAAGTGGCCTTTCTCACCACTTTGTTCAGTCTCTTTCCGTCCCGCTCTGCGATGCCAGGGACCCAGCAGACAACAATGTAGAGGAGGTCTGAAGCCACCACAGAGGTATAAAAGGTTTTAGGCAGAGGGCTGCTCACTCCAAAGGACCTCAGCCTCCTTAGGAGGTGGTGGTGGCTCTGGCCCTCCTTATACAGGGCATCAGTGTTATGAGTCCAATCCAGTTTATTAGTGATATGAACACCCAGGTATTTGAATCTCTCCACAGTTTATATGTCCTGCCCCTGAATGTCCACGGGGGAGTGAGGTGGGGGTGTTAAGGGTCTTAATGGTGTTAAGACACAGGTGCTTCTTTTCACACCAATCCACAAAGTTCATGATAACCAATCGATATTCCAGATTACTCCCGTCAGAAACACAGCACACAATGGCCGAGTCATCAGAGAACCTCTGGAGATGGAAGCTGTCCTTGTTGCAGGTGAAGTCCGAGGTATAGAGGGTAAAGAGTAACGGAGACAGAACGCTGCACATAGAGCCACGTATTCCGAGGAGTTGGTCCTTGCAAGTCACGGAAAAAGGGGTCCCCCCTTGCAGCATTAAAAAGCGCCGAATGTAGGAGAAAGCTCAGCACTACAGTCACAAAAGTTGGCTTCCTCTGTGCACTTAAGTTTCGAATATCAGATACAGTATTCACTAGTAGAAAAGCATTTCCAAAAAACAATATAAAGAAGAGAAGTAGGAAAGGGGAGTATGGAGCCGAAGTACTGTAACAGACTGATTCGTTTGCAGAGCCATCTTTTTCTTTAGCGCCAATTCACATCATGTCATCTCAGGTCACTTTATAGAGACAGTTCAACCATATCATCCAGAGAGATTGGTTCAAAGTTTTCTATCTAAGGAAAACCAGCTAATGGCATCGACTCTTTAGCAATCCCTCACACCAATCATGCTTGTGGCAACTGTGGAGAGGAAAACTACCTTTGAACAGGAAGAAACCTCCAGCAGAACCAGGCTCAGTGTGTTCAGTCTGACGAGACCAGCGGGTGTTCAAGGAGACAGAAGCAGACATAGAAAAAGAAGCAGAGATACAAGGCGATGTGTCACAGCCATGCCGTACTGACCTAACACTGTGTGTTATTGCACAGTGAGAGAAGCACATGAGTGACCATAGGTAATGTTTGCATAAAAAGTCCAAGGAGGGGTGTTGCTGATCCTTGTCCCTCTTCCTCTCACCTCCTCCTTCCCCCAAGTGAGGAGTTGTACTGGTTGATGGCTTGAGGAACAAAGGAGTTCAGCAGTCTGTTGGTTCTGCATTTGGGGAGGAGCAATCTCCCACTGATCAGGCTCCTGTGAGTTGAATCACAGAGCTGGCTTGCCTGACCAGTTTGTCCAGTTTTGAGGTGTCCATCTTGGATGTGCTGCTACCCCAATACATCATGGTGTAGAAGAGGACACTGGCCACCACAGACCGGTAGAATATCTCCAACAGCTTATTGCAGATGTTGAACGACCTCAGTCTCCTCAGGATGTACATCCTGCTCTGTGTCGCCCTGTGCAGTTGGTTAGTGTGTGTTGACCAGTCCAATTTATTGTCCAGTCACACCCCAAGGTATTTGTATGACTCCAGAGCTTCCACTTCAGCTCCCTCCAGTAGTACCAACTTAGTGTTTGGTCCATTCCACCCAAAGTCTATGACCAGCTCCTTCAGCTGGAGATTTTCAGCTCCAGGTGGTTGGTGCTAGCCTGACCATAGAGCTGTGATTATGGGGCGTGTTTCGAACGAACAAGGAAAAAAAATGCCTCTGCACTCAATTGGATAGACCTACAACCAATAAGAGCAACAGAGTGCGTGACGTATGTTAAGCGACGCATAGATGTCAACAAAAATCAAAGCGTGCAGTTGCACGCCTAGAATAAGAAGATGAGCCTTGATCGCGTTTCTCTGTTCCTCTTTTAAAATTAATTTGCTGTCGATATCTTCTAGAACAGACCTAATAGCAGAATCTACTCACCTCAAATCTCCAGCGGCAGCCATTGTTGTTGTCACCCAAGCGCGCTTTGGCGACGTGGTTGATTACGTTACTGTTGATCATCTATCCATCATCATATAAAGCCCGGCCTGACAATTTGATTGTCCCGCCAGATATTGTGCGAGCATACTCGTGCTACTATTAAGCAACGCCAGACATAACTTCCCGACCTTAAACGTTGTGGGCGGGACTAAGTTCGGAATGGCACCCAGGCTAGGTTGGTGCTGCACCAGGTGGCAAAGTCCCCCACCAGTCTCCTATACTCCTCCTCTCTGTTGTACCTGATACACCTCAAATGGCTGTTGCATCTGCATGCTTCTGTATGTGACACAGCTGTCCATTCACCGGTGCTAGGTCGGTGAATGGAGTGAGCAATCAAGCCAATTATCAGTGCAAAGATCACGACAAACTATCAACCATTTCCACAGGCGGCCCCGTCCAGGAAACACACAGCCAGGCAGACAAGCTCTGAGCCAGCTCCCATGTCAGAGGATGACAGTGAGAACATCCAGTGAGTCACAGTCAGAGAAACAGGACTACACTGAAAAACAGGGCAAGCTCCAACATCTATAAACAAAGAATTAGAATTAGTTTATAAAGTTAATTGGACTTAACTTTATTGTCGTTACATTGTCACAAGTACAAAGCAAAATAATTCACTCTCTGCGTTTAAACCATCCCTTTGCGGAGCAGTGGACTGCCATTGTGAGGTGCCCGGGAGCAGTGTGGGGGTTAAGGGTCTTGCTCAGGGACCCAGAGTGGAAATCCGTGGAAGTGAGGCTTGAACTCAGAACTTCTGGGATCCAAGCACAATGCCCTAACCACTAGGGCGCCACTCCAAATGTGTTGATGGCAGCAGCACAGCTGATGTTTCTCTCCAGGATGGAGTAACAGCAAAACAGGAACAGACCAGATGGAGCTACTCTGAGAAAAAGCAGAGAGAGTATAACGTTAGAGATTGAACTAACAAATATTGCAGAATAGGAGAGATAGAATGTAGCAGAATGATGGGGTCCCTATGTCCTCCAGCATTCTAAGCATATAGCAGTATAACAATATAGCTCAGAATAACCTGAGCCACCCTAACTATAAACTTTATCCAAAATGAATGTTTTAAGCCTACCCTTAAAAGTAGACAGGGTTTCTGCCTCACAGACTAAAACTTGTAGTTGGTGAAGAGCCTGATAGCTAAAGATCTGCCTCTCATTCTACTTTTAG